GTCTTGAAACGTGTACTGGTATACACAGCTGTGACTTTAATTAACAGTGTTCCGTAAATATATATATATCACAGAATCACAGAATGTTAGGGGTTGGAAGGGAAAGATCTAGTCCAAGCCCCCTGCCAGAGCTGGATCACCGACAGTAGGTCACACAGGAACACGTCCATGTGGGTTTAAATGTCTCCAGAGAAGGAGACTCCACAACCTCTCTGGGCAGCCTGTGTCAGTGCTCTGTCACCCTCACAGTGAAAATGTTTTTCCTAATGTTTCTGTGGAACCTCCTGTGCTCCAGCTTGCACCTGCTGCCCCTGGTCCTATCATTGGACATCACTGAGGGGAAAAAAAAAAAAGTATCTATCTATCTTCTGAAGGAAGCCTTGAGTAGGAAACCTTATTGGACATAAGGAAAGCTAGGGGTGCTTTCTTTTGCTGCTTAAAACTTCTGGATTGTGCTCGATCATCCACTTCAGCAACCTCATCTTTGGGTCACTAAAATATCACCAATATTAAACATTTTGTCTTTTTGATAGAATTGTACAAATCAAAAGCAGCCCGTGGAAGGAGCGAGTTATTTGCTATTCTGTTTTAACCATTTCTGTAGAGATGAAGAACAGGTGTGCAGAGATGAGAATATGGTGGTCTTCTGCCTAGTTTTCTTGCAAATACGTTATCTGTTGTTCTGTAATAGTTCAGCTTGGATTTGGGACTGCCTGCAATGGGCATTTTCCATGCTTGGACAGTTTCTAAGGAGTTGTAATGCTTTCGTGAGGAGTTGTCACCAAAATAAGTCAGGGTAGCAACTAGTGGATCCTTGGGGTGCCCTTTTAATGGGGAAATTGTTGAGGCTTTCCGAGGTGCTATGTTGCACAGGCAAAGCAAGACACATCTAGGGGTTGGGCTGTTTGTAGCAGCTAATTCTCCAACTTTCTCATTCTTATTTTCTCCACAGCAATTGCTAGAAGGTGTGGTGAGCAAAATGAAAGCCCCTAAAAAAATCCATTGGATTGATAAAGCAAACCATGGGATGGCAGTCAAAGGACGAACAACAGATGATGTCATGGAAGAAATAAATGCCCAAGTTTTTTCTTGGCTTAGAGAATATATTGAACCAAAACATAAATGATTTGCAGTGTTTAAGTAGTATCTTCATTCAGTGTTTCTTAAATGTGTCAGATTGATGTTTGTTATTTCAGAGAGGTACATTTTAAAAAACAGGTATTTTCAGAGGTTTAAGTGTAAATGTAAATAAAACATTTTTTGCGTTAATAAAAAAAATGAAAAACAATACAGAACTTCTTAAAGGAAGGACAGAAAATTTACAAAATACATAGTATCTTGGCAGCAGTGTTCTCTGTGTTTCTGTGCTTCTGTGTCCAGTTCCCCTCTGCTGCTGAGCCTGGATCTTCCCTGGTGCCTGCTCATGACTTTTATCCTTAGAGAAACTCATGAAAAAGAGGGCATTTGATTTACTGAGGAGAAACAGAATCATAGAATGCATTGGGTTGGAAGGGATCTTTAAAGGTCATCTAGTCCAATGCCCCTGTAGTGAGCAGAGACATCTCTAACAAGATCAAGTTGTTCAAAGCCCCATCTAGCCTGACCTTGAATGCCTCCAGGGATGGGGCCTCCACCACTTCCCTGGACAACCTGTTCCAGTGTTTCACCCCCCTCATAGTGAAGAACTTCCTCCTAACATCTAACCTAAATCTACTGTCTTCTAGCTTAAAACCATTGCCTCTTGGCATAAGACCCTTGGTGTGTGCTTGCAGGTGCAAACTTCCCTGTTACGTGCTATGAGCAACCTGTTGGCATAACCAAAGTTTATTATATTAATAAAATAATATATTGGCATGAAATTAATTAAAATCAATTAAAAATAATATATGGGCATAAAATTAATACATTGGCATAACTGGTTATGCCAATATATTAGTTGTTTTCTGCCACCTCATCAGCAAGTGCCTGCTGAATGATGACCCCTGAGATGAACTGGCTGGTCAGTCCTGATAAAAGCATCTGGGCATTGTCTCCTGAGGCAATGCTCTCAGCCCTGTTGCCAAGAGTTCCCTAAAACCTACTCAGGCCATCCTGTATTGTTCCGTTCCAGCTTGCAGCTAGTGGGAACAGAAGCAGGCAGTTTGAGCCTGGAGGTTCCCCTTGGAAGGAGCTGTTTGTACGTGACGTGCAGAGCTGCTTCAACATCTGCCAAGTCAGCCCTGGTTTGCTGAGAGGGCTTCCATGCCAAAGTGACTGAGTTTCACAAAGCATCTGTAAGAAAGCATATGGGAACTTAAAACTTATCTCATATTCCTAAAGTGTCCAATAGCACCATGGTTTGCCTTCAGGTTAAAAAGATACATATTCTAAACCTCACAGCCTTGTCTTTGAGAATACTGATTCTCTTGGAAGGAAAAGTTATGGTTTGAAAAAAAAAGAGATTTTGGTTAGATACATGGGATGGAGGATAGATTTACAATTCTTATCTGTGTGTTTTTGCAGAACACACTGATGAAGAGACTGAGTAATAGGCATGAGTGAAAAATACCTGCATTTCCAAGGTACCTCAGGACAGTAACACATGACTGATATAAACATGTTTTTTATTTAAAAAAAAAATTATAAAAATGTTTTTGAACAAGGCTCTGTAACCACTGCATGATACAAAGGAAATAGGAGGTGCTGGGTTTTCTTCCATATGTAGATCACGATCAGTAAACTTCAGAATATCCACTGGCATTTCAATTCAAATTTTTCTTCTTTCCTTAAGATGACAGACTGAACATAGGTAAGTATTCCAAAGATTCTTTTCTTTCTTTCTGTCAGAGCTCATCCTTGGCCTGCAGTCAGGAAAGAAGAAACATTCATCAGTTATTTGGAAACTCAATTTTTAACCGTCTAGTCCTGCAAATACATTACGAAATGTTTCTAAGTTTGACAGGCGTTAATGGTCTGATCTGGTAACTGATCCCATGGGGTACTGGGCAATACCTGTTCCCTGAAGACACACAGCGCTTTACACTTCACACTGTGTGTTCCGTACCTTTTTTCTGTGGCAAGTACATGGAAAAAGGTCATCATCAGGCTGCTGCACCTTCTCCATCCCCTCTCTGATCTTTGGCTCACTCACTTGCAAGCTGGCATATTCCTAGTTTCAAAAAAGGAAAGTATTGTTAATTCATAAACCCGTTATGGATTGTACATCTGGTGGTAAACATTGCACCAGCTCAGCCGAGTAATTCTGTCAAAACTCTGGGGCCGCACAATCTGTGACAACACACTGTGTCACCGGGAGGGTAAGCAGATATTTAAGTGCAGGCAGGAACCCTCTCAGGGCGCCTCACTGGAGTTTTGGTATCTTGGTGCTAATGCACAGGTATTTTCAGCTGTGGTTCCCAGGGCGCGCGTCTGATGGGGAATTCTTAGATCACTGTGGGCAACATCTTCTTGGAGATTAGATGCAGATTTAAGGGATCCGATTGCTCCTCTTGAAGCGCCAGCATAGTCTTAAGGGGTTTTGTTGGAAATAACTGCAAACAACGTTTGTAAACCAAGTGAAGTTCTTAACTGCTGCCACTTGCTTTGTGGCGTCCAGTACTGGGCTGGCCCATTTCCAGCAGCTCTGCTGCCATGAATTCTTTCTGTGGGATTTCCATTTCTGTGGTAGGAGCCGTTAAAAATACACTAACCTGGAAAAGTTTGAAATAGTAACAAAAAATGTGGTCTCCCATGAGATTGTTCCTTGCAAATTCTTGTCCAGATTTTGCAATATTTTTTGCCTGGGGGGAAAAAAAAAATAAATTCTCAAAGTTCAAGTCAGTTTCGAATTAAGGGCAGTATTGTGTATTTTTTTTAAGTGTTGATGCCAACCATTTTTAAGTCCCAATACATCTTTTGTTTCAAAGAAATGTCCTTTTTGCTCTATTTTGCCTAGAACCATTGCCAAGTACTTCTATAGGTATACTTACCTCTTCATCATGCTCTTTTGCCCACTGTAGTTTTTCTAGTAGATCACTCAAGTCACTTTTAAATGGAATATAATGTTTCCATGGCTGCAGCTCATTATAAAAATGCTCATAGTAGATGGAGTCTTGCTTTAGCACCACACTGTTTCCTGCTAGTAGATAAGGCAATCTGTATGCTGCCACTGTGCCATCAATATTAATTTGATATTTATACTGGAAAGAAAATTACCAGAAGTTATTAGCAAACAGAAAACCCGAGTAGCTTGGTGAGGTTATATTATTCTGAGGGCACTGGTATTACTGACTTGCCGATACTGAGAAATGTAGGACTGGCTAGGCAAGCATCAATGTTTTAAGTAGCTTTTATTATTTAGTTTGGAATTCATCACAGTGCAGGTTACACAGAGATGCCCTCTTCACCAGTTAAGTTCTCCGGAAATTCTTAGATGCTCATTCTTGGATGTGAGGATAGATGTGCCACTTCATCCACTGATTTTCCCACTATGTTAGTTATGTTAGTAGTCCTGATCGCTGAATCAGGAAAAAGAAATAAAGAGGAACTTGGAGTTACATAGATTACACAAGGTTCTACAGAACCCTTAGACGTAAATCAAACATTATTATCCCCAGTGAAAGAGCTACATGTAGCAGTTAATCCCGGTGGAGGGATGCCTATTCAGGCTTGTTATCAGTGCTGTGCTGAAAAATTAAAAATCACTTGATTATCAATAATGTATACAAAGTTACCTGACAATGGGAAACACTGAGAACCTAGTTCTGCGAAGTATGGTTAGCAGCTTACCTTAAAAAAATCAAAAAATGAAATGTGCTTAACAATGGGACCATAGAGGCTTTCATCATGTTTAAAAAAAAAAAAGTTTGTGAAAGCAGCATCTATGATCTCTGGATATTTTCTGCTGAGTTTCACAAGTTCAAGCCTCTCTTTGCGGCTGTCACGTCCTCTCCAGAACGCTGTGGTATTCTTGTCTTCCCACGATGGGCCAGTATTTGCTTGAACTGACATCATATCCAGACTGACCCTGGACGAGAAAGAAGGGATTTAATAGTGAAGCCTAGTGGAAATTTTTTTAAGTGCAATTACTTGAGCGAGTTTACAGTACCACTGGGCAAATACCAAGAGGGAGCTGGGTCTGTTCAGTTTGACAAAGAGGAGGCTGAGGGGGGATCTCATCATGCTCTTCTACAGTTATGTGAAAGGACATTGTAGAGAGGTTGGTGCTGGTCTCTTCTCACAGGTAATTAGGGACAGAACCAGGGGGAATGGTTGCAAGTTGCAACAGGGCAAGTTTAGGCTGGACATTAGGAAGAAATTCTTCATGGAAAGAGTGGTCAGACACTGGAACAGACTGCCTAGGGAGGTGGTTGAGTCGCCATCCCTGGATGTGTTTAAGTGTCGCTTAGATGTGGTGTTGGGTGCTATGGTTTAGGGGTGATCTTGTAGTGTAGGGTCAATGGTTGGACTCGATGATCCCAAGGGTCTTTTCCAACCTGAATTGTTCTATGATTCTGTGATTCTAAGATGAAGGTAAGTCAGAAGCACACCTCATGACTCAACATGAGTACATGTTGTATCAGTATTTTTGCAGCAATAAAACCAGGTAAGGAATGTCAAGTTCACAGTCCTGTTATAGCATCAGTTCAACAACAACATGGGGTGTGGAAAGATACCTGCCAGTTGTCCGGGAAAATAGTAGCTAAAAGCGGAGACAGTTGCCAGACAGATGAAGGTAATGCAGGGTAAAGTAACTAGCTCAATACAACTTATTTTGCTTCCTTAAAAACTCTGCTAAAATAAAGGAGGGAGTAAATTTAGGAAAAGTCTTGACAATAAGGACAAAGAACCTGAACCAAATGCCATGAAATGATAAATAGGCTCAAAATAGATTACAAAGACCTCTTAGAAGCTGGCTTTGTCATGTTTCAAGACAGCAGCAGAGTAGTTAACAAAGCCAGTTATGATCAGTAATCAAAGTGGGAGATGGTAGGTCCTAGGTTGAGAATTCTGGCTACTCTGGGCTTTAAAAGGTACAGAAAAAAAGATTCTAGGACAATCAGGAAAAAAAGAAATCTGGCCAGTTGTCAAAATTTTCATGGTGGGCATGGAACAAAGCAAACAAACAAGATCCTTACGCCTGTATCATTCCTTCTACATGCTGCTTTCAGTGACTTGACAATGCTTAGACTAATTTTGATTTTTTTTAAAGAGAAGAGTGAAGTATTTTAATTTATGCAATTTTTGTTATATATGGCTTGGTTAATGTTAAGAGATTGATGACACAGTTATTGCCTACCTACAGGGTGCCAGTGTCTCAGTGAATAAATAGAAACAGTTAATATACCGTTAATACAAATATCTTTTTGGAATATCATTCACTGTGAATTTTGTGAAAATTTTAAGTGATTTCTTACCGTCCCATAGTCTCCAAAACTGAGTCTGTTAAGTCATATGTTGGCATGACAATATCTTTGGTCTCATTGGACCCACACCAAGAGAAGATGGGATGCAGGTTCTGGGGGGACTTCTTTTTCTCCAGAGGCCAGTCCCCCAAATTAACAAAAAATTCTACATCTGGCATTCTCACCTAAACAGAAGCAAAGCAGGCACAAAGGCATTTTAATACAAAGCAGCATTCCTCTGCTGGTATCTTGCATTTTGAAAACCACCTCACTAAGAGTAAACATAGCCAGGTCTCTAATGTATCTGTAATAAATCATTAAAGTTTAGAAACATGTTAGAAATACTGAGACTGAGTAAAGTACTGAGTAAAGCCTACAAGATTTTCTTTAAAGACTTGCACAACATCACATTTATCTTAGTATCTATATAGGGAAATATCTTCTCTGAAAAAAAAAGAACAATTATGAATATTAGAAATTCTCAAAATATACACATGCATGTAAAAATAGAGTTTAAACATATTGCTGACTACTGATCATGTACATGCATCAAAGCATTTCTCCTCTCAAACCCCTTTACTCTTCAGATCAGAATGACTCGTCACAGGATAACATTTCAGGATTCTTCTGTGGCTCAAATAGGTCTCCTTAAATTTCCTATTTGATTGAGCTTTATGGACAGAGGTAGAAATTAATAATTTTCCAAATATCAAACACCCTCCTAAATGGTTGAAGGTATTCTTCACTATCTTGACGACAAGGAAAAGCCTTTGGGAGAGACATCCAGAAATTCTAAAGACAAGAGACCCAAAGCAGTACTTTTGTCTTCAGTATACAGACTGACAGAAAAGGTTTTATTGTGTACCTTCATTTCAAAGGGCATGTGGCTTCCCCTTCTAATCTTCAACACTAAACTTTATTAGTACAGTGCCATCTAACGGTTATAATGTACATGGAAAAGCTACAGATTACGTTTTATCTACATTCTCAATGGCAGAATCATTCAACAGGTTAAATGTTCTTCTTCAACCCAATAGATCTATAGACCTTCAGTGATACTGCCTTAATAGAAATTCCTGAAGTATTTAGATAAGATAAATTGTGATGAGATAAATTGTGTTTTCCAGATCTGCAAACAGTTTCTGTCTTTGGAGTTTCCAAATTAGTTCTGACATTTAGCTTAAATACCTTTGATACAATTTAATTCCATTATTCCTTGTGCAACACTGACACTGGGAGCAGGTTACTTCCATCTTCCGTAGAGCAACCTTTTAGATAATTAAAGGCTACATTCACGTCTTCCCTTAGATACTGCTAGAAGAAACAATCCCCACTTAAATGAATCTTCATTTGTATGTCTAGTCATTCTTAGCACTTTCTGGTGCAACGTCAGTAACCGAACAATCTTTCCTGAAGCAAGATGCCCAAAGGCCCACATCAGAACATAACGGATCCATTACTAATCCCAAGTAGAGCGGAAAGGTTACTTTACATTTCTTCCAGGTGTTTCTTCTGTTGAAATTTTTGCAACAGTACTCAACAGTACTGTTGAACTCATGTTACATTTGTGAGACTGTAACCTTCACATTTTTCTCCAGCAAATAACCACTCACTCCCTATTTTAAATAGGTGCCATAACTAGTCCAGCCTGTGTGTAGTATCCTGCCCTTGCCACTTTATCTGTTTTTCTATATAATTTCTCTACTTCATATTTTTTTTTAACTATAGTGCTATACTGAGAGGCATTTGCAGGTTCTTTCATTTCTGCTATCTGAAAATTCAGTAAGCATATTCTGTAGTCCATCATTCAGTCAAATATATTTAAGGTATTAAAATGGGGACTGAACCTAGGACAAATCTCTGAAGAATACATCTGTGGCACCTTTTGTCTCTCTGGATACATTGGCAACTACTATTCAGGTACGGCTTTCCAAGCAGGTTACAGTAGTTTCTTCTAGGCTAAGTTTTCCTATCTTGTTAATGAGAAACTTGTGAGACTTGCCCTCAAAAGCATAACTAAAACTGAGATACATGACATCCATACAGGAAGCCTATTATCTTGTTAAAGGAAAAAATTATATAGTTATGACTTATGTTTTATGATAAATCCATGTTGTTTCGTAACAATTACCTTATCTTTCAACTGCTTATAAATAAGGTGTTAAATTTTTTATTAGAATTTCAAGGAAATTTCTTTAGGTGAACAATTCCATACTTCAGTAGCTCCTCTGTCTTTTTTCTCTCCTTTTTAAAAGACAAAGTGCTGTCTTTTACAGTCAAAACCAGATATTAACTTGGCTATCTCTTACTACTCTGTTTACGTAATAATCACATATTTCTGCGTGCTGAAATTTCAGGCCTGCTATATTCTATCATTACCTATATAATGTCCTTTTTTTTCCCCAAATTTCCCTAGGAAAGAGCCTGCGTGGTATGTGAGTTTCCTCACACACGACCTCCTGGGCTTTTGTTACTCTTTCTCAACCCCTCCTGTCTTGTTTTCAACATACAGATTTTAATGGAGAATGATATACATTCCCAATCTTTTTTTCAGTCATCCTGTAAAATGTACTAGCAGAGACAGAATTTTCTATCAGATGCTTCAGAATGATTTATTTAGTCTATCGAAAAATCTTCCATACAAGCCTATCAAGCCATTCTATAAAAGCCTGCTATGTGCTTAACATTTGTGATATGCCAAACACTGATCAGGTAGCATTCTAGAACATGCAAACTTCAAACAAGGGAAATCCAGCTGACCTTTCCATTATTAATCAAAGAGCTCTTTAACAGAAATAGCAATAAATATGCTGAAGTATATTTGTTAAGACCAGCCTTCTACAAATTAGGACATATAGAATAAATGACTGTGCAGATGTACTCACTTTTCTTGTCAAAGAAAGCAGTATGGCATCCATGAAAATTCTGAAGCCAACATGCTCCCCATACGTCTTTATATAAACCTGAAAATAAACGAAGGTTTTACTGTTCTGGTGTTTTCATTTCAGAGAACAGTTGGCACAATTTAGAGCTCTGTTAATCATTCTGTAACTGGTCAGATAGATTCTATGGCTGCATAGATTTATGAATCAGGTGGAAAGCCTTAGAAATCTCATCTCTCTAACTCATTGCAGAGAAGTGACAAAAAAAAACCCCAAACAAGCTTTGCTTGCTTTTGGAGATATTTTAGGTCTGTCTCATTGAAAGAAAATCTGGTTGCCCATTTGTGCTGTGTTCCACTGTTCTTGTTTCCATATGAAACTCTACTGAAGTAGGTACAGTTTTGGCTCCATCCCCAGTGGAGCTAAAAGTCGTATTTCTTTACCTCAGAATTACATACAAAGTAATTTATTGACACATGTCAAATTAGATGGTTGTGGCACTCCACAGCAATATTAGTCAGAGAACATGAAACTGAATTAGCATTTAGCAGACTTGAGTCTGTGCCCAGTACTCATATTGATTGGTTGGAAAGTAATCTGCCTTCACTGAGGTTCAGCTGTAGCATGGACAAAAAGCACTTTACAAAGTAGAACAGATGTTGGGCACATATAAAACCTGCAAACTATTCAAGGACAGAGAATCAAACAAAGGAAGTTTCTTAAAGAAGAGACTACAAGAAGCTTTTCAGCTGGGAACAGCCAAAGAGCCTAGCTGCATGACGTGCCCCTAAATCCCTGTATGGACTTCAGATCAATCCATTCCGTACCTCATTATCTTTGATGGTGTAATGACACAAACTCTGTCTTTGTCCAAACCTCTCTGGAATTTCTTTTGCAATTTTATCTGGATCTACAATAGGAAAATTTGCCAGGTCTCTCTGAATCTGTGGAATGATTTGTGGGCAGTTCATCTCTTCCAGCCATGCACTGCTCTCCTCCTGAGGGCAGTCACAGTTTTCATGGTAAACAGGTCCTACCAGGAACACAATTATTATTTCATTAAAAGTAAGTCACACTATTTTGCTGAGGTCACAAAAGAGGGTCAGGCACTGAGCGTTCATAACTTAGGGCTAAATCTTCAGCAACTCTAAATGAACACATTTGAATTTTTTTTTACTCTGATGGAGTCATTCCAAACTACATCAGCTTCTGTGTGAGCCCTCTGCATGTATTTGCTAGGTTACATCTTCACAGCATTTGTTTCTTTTTATTATTTTGAACAGTACATGCAGGACACTTGTAATGAATCCTTAATTCTGATGGGATTCGATAGTCTGGACAAGTACCGAGGTCCCAATGAATCTTATGCTAATCCTAGAAGACACTCTGGGACAGTTTGTGAGAAAAAGCCATGACAGGAAATCCATGTGTAATGCTGCATCTTACCTTCTAAAACATACGGAGACTTTGCAACATGTTTATCTCCAGTTTTGACTTCTATCTTCAGGTTTTTGTAGCTTGCATACATCCTGTATCTCACTAGGAAGGAACCATCTTTCCTGTCTAACACCTGCACACCAACCCGAGTGAACTGTTCATCAGGAGCAGTGATCTTCACCTGAAATGCATTTTCACCTGGTGACGAAGTGAACCTGCCCAGAGAATAAGTGGGAGCTTCATAAAAAAGGAGCACACAACAGCATTCTTAGCCTGATCCGTTCCTTTTCAAGTTGACAGATTTCCAGTGACTTCACCGAGCCACGCTAGGTATTTATGAGCACATCCTAATGTTCACACATAAGACATGGTTTTCCCAAAAGAATTTTCTTAGGCTACCTAAAACATCTCATGCTATTAAAAGCACTAGGTATCAGGAAGGTTCCACTCAAATACTCATGAACACACCTCTAAAATTACTTGGTGACCAACATATTGAACAGTGTTGGAAATATGGTCTTTGAGTATGCGCAAACAGAGCATCTTTAGAAATCCAGCACAGCTCTTCCTTAGTAGTAGCTCAAGTGTAAAATGAGGGGAAGGTAGAGAGCATGCAGAGAAATGGATCTTGGCAGCTAAACTTGGTGTCCTGTTCTGTAGGACAGGACAAGGGACAATGGTTTTAAACTGAAATAGAGTAGACTTAGACTGGATATAAGGAATAAACTCTCCACGAGGAGGGTGGTGAGGCGCTAGAAGAGATTGCTCAGAGAAGTTGTGGATGCCCCATCCCTAAAAATATTCAAGGCCAGGCTGGATGGAGCTCTGAGCAACCTGGTCTAGTGAAAAATATCCCTATCCACGGCAGGGGAGTTAGACTAGATGATCTTTAAAAGGCTCTTCTGACTCAAACCATTCTATCAAAAAATAAAATACTAGACCAAGCTTCACTTCAGCAGCTTAATAAGTCTGTTATTTTACATATAGTAACATAATGTTTGCAGTTTACCTTATTTTCCAGGCATTATTTAACGAATTTAAACTTATTAATCATTATGGTAGCTCATAAAAAGAGAAAAAAACAGATATTATAAATGTCAGTGTCTTAGTAGGGAAAAAACATTATAGTGGAATCATGTAATTCAATGTGTTTTTATGATATTTTGGAAAAATTCACCATACATCAATTTCATAATCATAGAATTGTCAGGGTTGGAAGGGA